CTGAAAAGACCTCGTGTTTTACTGTACTTTACAAATCAATAAATGAAATAAATTGAATAAAGGAGCTTCTTATTTGTCGAATTGTGCCTTGAATATTGACGTTATTTATTTTTAAGTTTAACTTTTATTCAAAATAATGCTTATTACCTTTGTATACACATATTTGTTCTACTTTATGCATATGTATTTGTGGTTGGGGATTATTTTTAATTGGTCATATGCATTTATGAACCACAATAATCTCGCAAAATGCTTATGGCGAAGCGAATGGATTGGCGAACGCAACTTAAATATGCATTAAGAGTGTTCGCTTTTACCAGCTTGTGCAAGTTCTTTGCATCGCGAACACGTTTAATACCTTCTCTGCCTTTTAATTGGCTTCGCCAAACCGTTCGCTTCGCCAAAATCATTCGCTTTGCAAGTGATAATACCACCCTTAAGGTGCTCGTGTAACATTCACCTTGGTATATGTTGTTGTTGTTGTTGTTGATGTCTAAAAATTCGCGTTGATTTTTTAGAATTTTTTTGCTGGCTGTCCCACGATTTTTTTTCATATAAAAAACTCTGACAAGCCATATTTTAAAACAAAATTAATAAAAACATTTTAACATGTAAAACATGGCGAATATTAACAAAAAAGAGCTGTATGCTCAATTTTGGGAGTAACCGTAAGCACTTTTTATCAGGGACCGAGAACGCGCTCCCGTTCTGGTTTAACGTAATGTCAACAACGTTCCCGCAAAAGAACCAAGAGGGAACAATGAGAACGAAATTTACGGGGACGTTTCCATTGAGAACGAAATGAAAATGAACATATCGAGAACATTTTCAAGTGGTGAGAACCATTATTGTTTATTGTAAGCCAGAGGAAAACTATCAGCGGGGTGAACTGCCCATTTATGGGCACGAGAATGACATTTAGTTTTGATCATACTTTTTGTTCTCTCTCCCAGCCTTTTATTTACTGAATTAAATATTTTAATCAAACTGAAAAGTATGAACAAATGTCTGGGTTTATAAAAAGGATCTTTCCTTTATGCGTATACTTCATTCATGCATTCGATATAAAAAGTGAAATTTCTGACTTTGGCATATGGGCCATTCCATTGTTACTGTGGGACATTTTACTCCCGAATGTGAAAGATATTTTTATACCCGAGCGCACTTGTGCACAAGGGTATTATAACTTTGTTCACATAACGGTTGTTTGTAACAGGCAAAACGAATCGAGATAGATATAGACAAATGTTAATCCATCTTTTCGCTTCGGCTGCGCGTGAAACGTTTGCAAAGCGTACGCAGGGTGCACGTGTCATGCCAACATCCTCCACATACGACGTAACTCCGCGCACGGATAGCGCTTTACAACCGCGATTCGTTGAGGCGACCAGTGCGCCTTCGGTCGTAGCCATGGGTACAAAATATTTACTGCCATCAAGCAGCAAAGGACCTGCATAACCAACTGGAATGGGCACATAGCCAAGTACGTTTTCACAGCAGGCATTCATTACTTTGCGATAGTCGAAATTCAAATATGGCAGACATTCCAACCGTTCGGCGGGCACTTTAGCGCGCGCGCTAATCACTTGTCTACGAATGCGCACACCGCGAACTGGGTCATCTAAAATTGACTCGATTTTATGCAATGGACAGTGGTTGCCAGCGGAGTTAACGATTAAGAGAACTTCTTCGTCTGTAAGATTAGCGGGCCCACCCCATTCATCGAGAGATTGAAGAATTTCTAGGCATTCTTGCAGTGTGCGCGGTGGAATTGATTGACGTGGACATGGCTGCAGTGCCATCGATTGATTAGCATCGGTTATGAGTTCAGTTTGTGTTGATGCATTAACAAAGTTATGTTCTTCGATTGTAAATAGTGGTACGCGATGAGGACGCGAATCGCCGACAGCAGGCGACACAACCAATTGAGGAACTTTAGTGGGAGGTTGAGGCGCATTCAACACGTCAGTAGCATTGATTTGTGGCGCGGATATATTCATATCCATGGCAGCAAGAGTAGCCGTGTCTTGCAAAGGTTGCGTTTGGGACGATTTTACAGCTAGAGCGACTGTGGTTTGTCGTAGTTGATCGTGCAGTTCATTGCGGTGCTCAAAAAATATAAATTTAACTACTAAAGCGATGAGAAGAATGAGTATGACAATCTGGTCAGCACTCATGGTGAGCCATCTAAAAAAGAGTTACAAATAGAAGAATTTTAAAATTTTATACATATGAATATTTTTAAATTTTATAGGTTAGAAAACACTTTTTGAAATTCACATAGAAGTGAATAGCTCAGCTGGCAAACCAGTGGTTCCGACAGCTTCCTTGTTTTTGATCAGGGGATAAGGGTTATATTACATTCATCGTTTCCGTCGATCATACCATAAGGTGGAGAATTGTTCTCACTTTAAATTAACCCAGCATCATTGAACAAAGATGAATTTCATCCGAGCTCTTGTAAAATGCGTGTTATTTTCCACGAAGTCTTAAGTACTTTTTTTTTTATTTTTAATCACCGAAGCGATGTACAGTGTTTTGACTATATGGAGGCAGGTGGAAAAAATCATGATTACAGTTGATAAAATAACCTGGTGGGCTTAGAGATGGAAAAGTAAAAAACATAAATACAAAATTTCACATCTCTTACTCACACTCCCTCTATACGACCTATACTTTTCCAAAGAAAATACTACAATCGGCACGATATCGACTAATCAGTTTAGTTGCGTTTGAGGCTGAACCCATAAAAGAAAGTGTTTTTTTCAACTGTAATAAATTCTTTACGTGCCATGCATTATTTATGTACGTGAAGGTATTTATAATTTATTTCGAATTTTCCTCTTTTTTCAGAAAAGTTGACTAGGAGATGTAGATGCTAAAGATTATTAATAAAAAAAAATTTGAGCACCGGTCGGTCAGGTCTTTAGACGCGACTTTTCTTATCCCTGTTGTAATAAATAATTGAAATTATGGAATAGTTTGAATTAAACTTTTTAAACAGTTGGCAATATTTTTAGACCTCTGTCCATACATACATGTGTATTCAATTACCTAATTCCTATAATTCATGTAATTTATAATATAATTGTATTTGAATTTAGTTTTAAAACGCAGGAGGCGCCCCTCTTCAAATACCTCGGAAAATTCTATATGTTCAAGCTGAACATTTCTAAACACTCTTACTCTTGACAATCTATCACGAGTAAAATTCATTTAAACTCGAATTTTTAAACAGGGGGCAATCCTGCTCAAAATATTTTCATACTACAATTTTTTTAAGCCTCTTGATAAATAATATAATTTTCGAATAAATAATTCCCTTTATTCAAGTTGATTTCATTGTGTGAGTATGGTATTCCACGAAAAACAGCTTCTCATAAAAACACAATCGCCGTTCGGGGTCGGCGTAAAACCGTAGGCCCCTACTGTTTGTTTGACAATATCAAGGCGCATGCCACAAACTGGACGAGAAGCACGGTCAAACACTAACATATGTGTAAGCGCTAATGTATTATTACTTCCCTTAATTCAAATAGCATTTGATTTTTCAAACAGGTGGCAACCCTCCTACATTTAGTTTAGAACTAAATCCCTTTCAAAAACATTTCGATTGATACCCATATTGTAGCAATTCATTTAAATTAATTGAATTGAAATTTTAAACGGGTGGCAGCCCTTGTAAAACACCTCAAATGTTCAATCTGAAGGTTTCTTAACAAGCTTTCTTAACATACATTTTTTAATATAATTTTCAAATAAATAAACCCCTTAATTCAAGTTGAATTTATTTTTCAAACAGGTGGCAGCCCCCCTACATTAGTATGAAATTGACTTTACATATGTATGTATATCCACACCAAGGTCCGTCTTCTCGAGATTAAATCTATCCTATATTTTAAGTTGGGCTAAATGACACTAGTGTACTTTCGAATTTATAATATTAGTAAAGATATCAATCCATCAGGAACACCCCTCATTTATGCAGTTAAAGAAGATTGCAGATATTTTATCAATTGCACTGCAATCATTGCAGTCATCCCTTATTAATAGTACATGTACTCAATAATGATACCCTGTATATGTGTGTATACTCACTTAATAATCATATCCGTCAATTCCCCCGACTCCGTACGATTAGTGTTCACATTTAAATTTAATTGTGGAGTTAAAGTCTTTTCCACCGTATCATATTCAGTACTCGAGAACACCATGCGGCTGTAAATGTGCACAATCATCAGTCCGGTGGTCATTATGATTTTTACACGTTGTACCACTGGATTAGTCTTTTGCTCTTCATCGTTCAATGCCTTCAAGAGGATAGAGTCTTTGGCTTTGGCACGCACCATTGACATGTCCATGCCATTGCGTGACAAATCGAGTATGAGTGACAAACATGCGGGGAAGAAGGTCATAAAGACCACATAATTAACAATCACCGACATAACGGCGAATGTGCACAGCACCTCCAAACGCTGTACGCCAGACAGCGTGCCCACGCCGATGACAAGCGTCTCGACAATGGTGTCCAAAGATATGGCTGGCCCCAGTAGCTCTAAGCCGCGCGCTATGTTATTCGTCACTTCAGCCTGATTGGTGCCGGTTAAAGCTAATTGCGCAAGCGTGCCTGAATTCGAGAGATCGATAAGCAGCAGCATAAAGAAGAGAGCATCTCTGCAACAAAGGGGAAAGGTAATACATAGAAATTTGTTGAAAAATTACGTTTAATGTGAGTATGATGAACAAATGCTTATAAAATTGCATATTGTCATAAGGAAGTGATAATCGTCATTTGAATTACATAAATAAAAGAATTTAATGGCTTTTACTCACTTCAAATCGGAGATATCGCTGCCCAGAAACTTTATTATGGTTGTCGTAAATATAAAACTCGAGAAGACTGTAAATAGTCCAGCGATTCCTGAAAAATAAAAAAATTTTTTTTTGAATTTAATTAGTATCTACTTTTATACATTTACAAATTCAANAAAGACTGTAAATAGTCCAGCGATTCCTGAAAAATAAAAATTTTTTTTTTTGAATTTAATTAGTATCTACTTTTATACATTTACAAATTCAAATAATGCGACAATTTATTTAATGCTGTATGCATGCTGAATTTAAAAGGTATTATATGTATATGCAAAAATATTAAATTAATGTATAAAGTACGATGCAATCATAAATCAAAGACAATGCACAGGTGGGAGAGACGGCTCAAAAAATCCAATAAATTAATGGAAAACTATAGCAATGAATTCTCTAGTAAATACGTGTTTGTTTTTGCTGATAGTAGGGATTTTTATAAAAATGCACTACTTGTTATAAAAATATTCAAGAGTATGTTAAGAAAAAAATGCAGTGCAGGAAAAAGATCTGAATGGTAATGTTTTCTTNAGATGCAATCATAAATCAAAGACAATGCACAGGTGGGAGAGACGGCTCAAAAAACCCAATACATTAATGGAAAACTATAGCAATGAATTCTCTAGTAAATACGTGTTTGTTTTTGCTGATAGTAGGGATTTTTATAAAAATGCACTACTTGTTATAAAAATATTCAAGAGTATGTTAAGAAAAAAATGCAGTGCAGGAAAAAGATCTGAATGGTAATGTTTTCTTGGACAATTAAAATTAAAAAAAAAAATGGCGTAGCCTAAGATTTAATCAGACTTGTCCAAAGGAGATGAAATCACGCCGTGATCAGACATGGCGAAGCAGTTATGGGAAAAATTGTGTTTACTAAATTTTGTGGTGAATTATCAAGTACTATGCACTTTAGTACCGATTACGATAGTATCTACAATGATTCTATATGCATTAAGTGTACTAAATACTTAAAAAAAATGTATTTACTTAGTTTCACAGGACTTAATCCCGGTTGTAAAGTAACGAAGTAACGAAGTATACTGAAAGGCCCTGGGAAAATAATGAAAAGTTCCAAGAAAAAATCCCCTAAGTCCTTAAAATGAAAATTCCCGAAAAATAAAACACGAATAACTCCGATAATACCGAAAAATTTGCAAAAAAATTCGGAGAAAATCTTGAAGTTTCGTAAACTCTAAAATCCCGAAGCATTTCTTTATTTTGTAAAACTTAAAAAAAAAATCGATTTTTCCTTCTTTTCCCCGAACAGTTTAGTATTTAGAAATCTACAATTATTTAATTGCTTCTTAAGTAGCTTCTCCTTAATATTCGTAAAATTGTCATTTTAGTGAACAAAAAATCTCATAAATATGCCCTGATTTAAGGGAAAATCCTCAATGAACTGGGGTATAACAACAGGTACAAAAAAAAGATAAATTTTTGATATACCATTTCACGGAAAAGTTAAAATCCAGCGTAAGTACATGGCGTATGAGTAACATTCTCATCGTAACTGTAAATATTTAAGCGAATCTAATAGGTTTTGATTTTTTTGTCTTCGCGAAAAGAGCGTCTTTAAAGAGGTGCAGTAAAGACGCCATTTTGAATTTTTTAATTCGCCACATTTCAATTGAAAGTGCATTACTTTACAAGTATTGTAAAATATTGCACGTTCATTTTCATTGATTAGAATTTTGGGCAGAGCTCTGGGCCGGTTGACGTAAATCGTCCCTAGTGACGTGAATCTTTAAGCTAGTTAAATCGGTTTGAGGTAAATCTTCAGATAGATATCTCAAACAAGTTTGTTGTGAGCGCCCCACTTAAATATTATTGAATGACAGGCTGATTTGGCGGGATCCTATCAACAGAAAACGCAATGAAAAGCCAATAACTTCAATGACTACTGGGTTAAAAATTACATAAAATAAGTATAATAAACAAATCAAAAAAATGTTTTATATGTATATGGGTGTTTCCTGCGTTACGGACGTTCTGTTGGAGACACAATTTTTTTATTATAAAAACTATAGTAGGCTGTGAATGAACACAAATTTTTTGTCATGAGTAGTCATCATAAATGCCTATCTGAAATCAATAAAAATATTTTCCACAAATGTTATATGGTAAGTGAATAGCGATAAAAAGGTCCCGTTCGAACGTTCCCAAAATGTAACTCGTATCGAAGGTGAATGATGATTTTTGCTAAATTCTGCGAATCTGTTAACGGTACAAAAAAAAACAAGTACGCAAGTCTAAGTTCTCGCAGAGCCGAACATTAAATACCCGGCGCAAGTATAAAATATATGTGTTTTCACCTTTCCGAAAGCTACCGCTACATGGTAAGCCGGGGTGTATCAATTTTGAGTAAATTAGCGTCCTTAAATTTCGAAATATTGAAGTTTCAAACATTTCTGAAATTTACCGTCATATGAAAAGCGGACGTAATTTTAGTCCGATTTCAATAATTTTCAACGTTTTGCTTGTATGTGGCAAGCACAATAACCATTTGGTACAAATTGGTACGACGGTTACCGAGATACATATACGTGATCATAAGTGGGCGGTGCCACGCCCATTTTCCAAAATTTTATTAAACACGTATTTCTTGGTAAAGAATTGTTGCAAGCATCAGTTTTTAATAAATTGGCTTTAATATTTGTTAATTTATCGAAGATTTCGTATTTCTCTAAATTACCGTTATATGAGGTATGGGTGGTTATTGTCCGATTTTAAAAATTTTCGGTCATTTGATGTGCGGTACCAAGGCCAACAACTGCGCCAAGTTTGGAACAAAGATATACACATGTAACCCAGTGATGCCAGATTGTGGGTAATTTCCCTATTTGAGGGATATTTTGCATCAAAAATTATTAAAAGGGAAAAAAGGGACACTTCATATAAATAAGGGATTTTCTTTTGACGCAGTTATTGTTGCATAATTGATCAAAATTCAAGAATATTCGACATTCTTACGTAATTAATCGTTCTGAAGATGTGATGTGGAGTGAAATGGTATATAATTGTTAAAAAGTACAAGGACAATTTCGAAAATTTTCTTACGTTAACCAATTTCAAGCGCTGAGTAAGAAAGAATCTTTTCAGTTGTAACTGGTGTTTCATGTAAAAAGCGGAACAAATTATCTGATGAAATGTTAAATAGCACATGAATGTGCTTCAATTTTAAAGTCACCAAAAAATTCTTTTAGGCCCTTAGTGAGTGAGCAAAAAAATGAAAGGGAAAAAATGCAGAAAAAGGGGTTTTTTCTTAACAGCGGTCGGCCCTCGACAGGCAATGGCAAACCTCCGAGTGTATTCCTGCCATGAAAAACAGCTTCTCATAAAAATACACTCGCCATTCGGAGTCGGCGTAAAACTGTAGGTCCCTCCCCTTTGTGTGACAACATCAAGGG